GAGGGTCTGAAAGGCGCCAGGATGCTTGGAGAGCGGAGAGGAAGGAGTGATTCTTATTTGTGACGCTGGACCAGGGAGGAAGGACAGCGGGAGGCTGAATCCAAACAAACAAACAAACAACCCAGTGGCCATGCCACGCTCCTTGTGCAACCGCCACCTTGGAGGAGGAGCCGAGCCGGGCTGAGGCATCCGAGCGGAGAGGGAGGGATGTGGAGGACATGCTGGGAGCTGGCGGCAGTGTGTGGTCCCCAGGCAGCGGTGCGGGGGCTGGGCAGGCACCCTTGGGGAAAGAGGATGCTCGACGCCAGATTTCCTTCCCCTTTCTCAAGATGGAGTTAAGAAAGCACCAGGCGCAGAAGGGTTAAGAGTGCCATGCCAGTTAGACAAGCCACAGAGATGGATTTGGCAGCTGGGCTGGGGGGGCAAAGGGGGCCTGCCCCGCAAAGGGGACCTGCCCCGGGTACCGGACAGATCAGAGAGGGGCATCGAGACAGCCTCACGCGGCCACTTGCTCCGAGCCGGCTCTTCCCTCTGTCTGGTTGTCGGCTCTATCTGCAGCTGCACCGAAAGCAGAGGGGAAGGAGGAGAGCAGAGAGAGAAAGCCCAATTAGTAGATGAGCAGAGAGAGGCATGCAGGAAACCCAGCCCCCAAAACACCAGAAATCGTTAATGAGTTCCCGGCCAGCGGTGCCCGGGTGCGCAGATGCTGGCGGTGCCCGGGTGCGCAGATGCCGGCAGAGCCACGGCCGTGCTGGTCACCCGCTCAGTCTGCTCGGCCGGGGCGACCTGGGGACAGCGGCTGGGAGAAGCCGTCATGGGGTTGTGTTTAGCCTCACCAGGCCACAGAGCTGGACTTTATCCACCTTGTCTGAAAAGTTTTCTATTTTCTGCATTGCTTTCTAAAACTGTTTTTGCTCATGCCCTGCCTCTCCCAGACATCCTGGGGAGGTGGGAGGCATTGCAGTTTGAGTTGCCCATTTAGGGGCTTCTTGGCTTTCCAAAGTAAGTCTTAGAAATTCAACGTAGTGAGTCATATCACACAAGAAGGAACCAGTTCCAGCTTGGCTGGAATTATGCAGGTAATAATGTCAATTTTCTCCAAAAAATGTCTTTGGGGGGTTAAAAATATTTACCTAGATTTTTGTTCTTTTTTTTTATTAGGCAACACCAATTTTTATCTGATCTCTGCTCAAGCTGGATAAAATCAATAGGAGACTGTGGCAGTGGGAGTGGCAGGAGTGGGGAGTTCCTTGGCAGGGCAGAGGCATCGCTAACCCCACACTTTCTGAGGAGCCCTTTCAGATACAAATCTGTTTAGCAGGTCTGAGAGCCTCCCGTTTTCCATTTGGAGTGAGAAAACATGAATTAAAACTCCATAAATACTCTTCTAAGGTAAGATACACAATATCATTAAAAGAAAAAAGGATCTATGCCCAGGTGGGGAGAGCCTGGATCCCAACATCCCTTGAGAGCATCTCATCCTGCCTCTCTTGGAAAGGTCTTGGGACCTTCTCCGAGTGGGTTTGCTGCTTTTCTCCTCTCTGGGCCAGCCTTACAGCAGGCTGAGAAGCAGCGAGAGCCTCTCTGAGGGCTGAGGGGGATTGGGGAAAAGGGAAAAGGTGTTATCAGGTACATCTCCCAAGCCTGAGCTGAGAGACGAGCTGGGTGAGATGAAAGATGCAAATGGTCATCCAACCTTTCCAATGGCATGTCCTTTCTTCTGCCCTTTTCTCCCATTTTAAGGTTTGTAAATATTTGGGAAACTTTTCTCTCCCCTTTCACTTTGCTGAGCAGCACCCAGTATAGGGGAGTACCTGGGACCTCTCTGACACCCTGGGTCTTAGTAGCCTTCCGATGGGGAAGAAAATTTGGACCAGGAACCAGATTATCCCAGATTGTCCCAGATTTTTCCAATGGAGCCAGCTCTCAAGAGCCAGAGTTGCTTTTTCTTTGACAAGGAGACAGCAAAGTGGCTCACAAATCATGTTATATGAGTAATCTAAATAAAAGCACCAACCCCCTGCTTGTGGCATTTGGAGCGAGCCCCGTTAAGGGGAATGAGCCAAAAGAGGTTTGCAGAGTTACGTAGCCTCTCTGGCTGGGTTTGTGTCTCTGAGTAAGGAACTCCGCTCTGGCACGGCAGCTCCCTTTAAAGTGAAGTGTAAAAGGACATGGGCAGGGTGGGGAAGGGTGTCCTTACTTTTGCAGATAGGGATCTTGTTACTCCAGGTCCCGTCCTTTAGACACTCGATCTGGAAGGAGTCGCTTTCCAGGTTATCCTGTGCAGAAGATGCCAGCAAAAAAGCACCGTCAATACACCAAGCAAGGAAATTCATCTCTGCATAAAAAGTCAATTTTGGAGATTTAGTCAAGATATAGCCAGACCCCACTGGAAAAGGACCTCTCTAGCTAAAAATTGCAACAAAATCATAACAAAAAAAGTTTTCTTGTTGCCAGCAACCGAGTAACATGTGGAACGCAAAAGAACTGGAGACATCTCTTCCTGTTCTAGGTGCTGGGTTGGGTGAGGAGGCAGCTCTGCATGAAGGATGAGCCTGGGAGGAGATCAGAGAAATACCCAGCTCTGTGTCGGAAGTCAAAGCAGGCTACTGGTTTGGAGGGAAGACAGCCACCCCATGAGTCACCCGTGCTCCCTGTGGTTCTCAGCTGTTTCCCGGAGAGGCCCTGCCAAAATCCCAGCAATCTCGACTGGCCAAAGCTGTCCCAGAGTCCCGGAGGACCACCCGGTCTGTGGAGGCTGGCCTTTGCGGGGCTGCTGAGTTGGGGAGCAGGCAGAGCCCTGGCAGCTCCCCCAGGGCTTTTGCTGCCTTTTTCTCTGGCAGAGGTGCCAAGTCTGGCATCCCGTGAGCTGGCCAGCTCTGGAGAGATGGTGAGAGGGTGGCTCAGGAAAGTGCCATCTCCTCTCTTCCTCTGCGCCTCTGGGAAGGAAAGTTGGTGGCTCTCAGAGAAGGCTTTGTCCTTGCCCCTGGGAAGGGGGTAAGGATGGTCTGTGGGTTGCGTTCGCTCTCTTGAACAGAGATGCAATGGCTTTAGGAGGAAAGACCCCCCCTTCCCTACCCAGGTGCCCAGTTTTGTACCTTCAGGACTTTGTATCCAGTGTCACAGCTGATGACAACCTGGTCTTTGAAGGTGTACTTGGCTTGGGAAGGCTCGATTTTCCCATTGATTGGTGGTTGCACCAGTGGGCACGGGTTTCCTTTGAACGAAGAGCAAATTAAGAAAAACAAAACTCAAATAAATAGCAAAAATGGAGAGTCCCAGCTCTGTCACCCAGTCCCTGCAGCAGGGTCGGAGCATCCCTGCCCTGCTCTTGCTATTAACCCCCACTAACATGGCTCAGCCAGGCTCTTCTTCTAGGAGTGGAGGATCCAGGTCTTTCCTCCAGTCCTGGGCTGCTCCTGGCTTTGGGCATTACAAGGCTAGGAGCTAATAACAGTAGGTTTTACGATTATCCTGCCCAAAACTGCACTGCTTTGCAATGTGGTCTTGTTTCAGGGTCCATCTGGCATAGAGGGAAAAAAAAAGCACCCTTTGATGGAAAGTCTCCGTGTTATTTTATTCCTCTCTTGTGATTTCTGGAACAGACCCTTCCTGGACCACCAAACTCGTGGTCTCCACCTGCAGGGTTTATATAGCCCTTCCCATTGCCCAAGCCCAGGAAAGGGGGGAAAGCAGCAGGAGTTACCGATTGCTGTGTACGACAGCTTCCAGCCCCTGTTCTCTCCCGAGTTGTCACTGTGGAACAGGATCTGCACGCTGTTGGTTTGGGTTTCAATGCGTCCCGGGGACTTCTCTCCACAGAAAGGGCCAAACTCCCTCTGGCCAGCTTTGATCTGCCAAGGAAAAGAAGAGTGGGTGCTTTGAGGGGGATTTTTGACCCCTGAGGCTGGCTTTACCCTGAGGCTGATGGATGGGATGCAGCGGGGTCAGGGAGGTGTAAGCACCGTGTGTGTGGGGGGAGATGTGAACTGAAAGAGGGTTGCCATTTGCTGAGAAGGTCAAAACCAGACGTGGTAAGAGACATGGGTTCAACTGAGCACAGGGCTCCTGCTGGCTTCATCACTCTTGTTCAGATGGGGGAAATTTTTGGTCCCATCACCAGGGCACCACGGAAATGACAGGAGTGTGCAGAGCCCAGCTCACCTTGATGTAGTCGTAAGGACAGGTCACCTCAGGGTGGTCTTCCACATCGAAGCTGTCCTCGAAGCTCAGGGTGATGAAGAAGCCCTCTTCCAGCTCGATACGATACAGGCAGTCCGAGCTCTTGGGGTAGGGGCTGGGGAAGTCGGCGCTGGTGACCACCCCGCTCCGCTGGGTGTAGAGGTTGTCGCTGCACTCCACTGAAACACAGCCAGCGGTGCTCTAAGGGCCACCTCCCAGCCCCGACCACACTCAGGAGCCCTCCCAGTGGAGTGGGGTCTGCTGGGTGGGTCCATAGACCCTGAATATGGGTCCATGCAAGGGGAACCTCACACAGCCCACCTCCATATACACCTGTGGCGTATAGCTCTGGGCTGGGAGCTAATCCCAGCTAACCTGCATGATGGAGATTGAGAGTAGACACTGAAGTTGTTCATTTCTCTGACTTGGGGAGGTCTATAGGGTTTGGCTGAGGAGCACAGCCCAGGGGAGAAACCACATCTCCTTCCCACACAGGAGGACTGTGGGCCTTGGGCACTCTCCTCTCCCAGGCTATGGAGGGGAAGAGGCACCTCGTCCCTCCTAGCAGCAAGACAGGGCAGTTTGGCCTCTGTTTGGTAGGCCTGTTGCCTGCTCAGGCACCTCTCTGTGTGACCGTCCCCACATGCGAGCTGTGCCGGAGCGGTACCTTTGCAGGTCCTGTTGTCGGAGTGGAGGATGTAGCCGAACCTGCAGGAGCAGTAGTAGCCGCCGATGTAGTTGTGGCAGTAGTGGTCACATGCCAGCTCCTCGTCGCTCTTCTCCAGGCACTCGTCCACATCTAGGGTGGAGATGACAAGGAAGGGAGGTCACCCTGCAGCCATCACTCCTCAGGAGATATTCACCACAACACTGAGAAATTTGCTGTCCCACGTGGTGGGTCACACAATCCCCCAGCGAGCCCCCAGGGCTCCACACGAGGACTTCCCTTGCTTCAGCCCCCAAGGCTGGCCCAAGATGTCATCCTAGCAAATTTGTTATGCTACCCAGGCAAGCTGGTCCTGCAGGCTTAACCGCTGCTTACCCACGGCCGTGTAGTGAGCGTCGAAGCCGGTGAAGCGCTCCTCGTTGGAGAAGTCGGACCTGAACGTGAGCCCCATGTAGGGCCCTGGGGACAGGATCACTTGCTGGCCGGGAGCCTGCTCCGTGTCTGTCGTCTCCCTGCCGCAGAAGGTTGCCAGCTCCTGGTCCTCAGCTTCAATCTGTCAGCAGAAAGAACAGGTGAGCACTCAGCAGGGCTTGGGACTTACCCCCTGGATTCTGCTGAGCACTTGGATAGCGCAGGAATGTGACATGTCCCTGGGGTGCTCCCCAGTGCTGGCTGCCTCTGCAATTTCTCTTTGTGGGGCTGTGGGTGCCTGCAAGCCCGGAGAGCCCGTGGTGCTTTGCTGGAGGAGGTCAGGCTGGGCTTGGAGCCACACTCTGCACCACAGAGCTCAGGTCCCTGTGCTTGCCCAGCCTGTCCCCTGCCAGGGCTCAGCAGGGTCTCCATGGGGCAGGCTGCCTGCCTGGCAGCATCTGATGGCCACAGCCCAAGGATGCAGCTGTGGTCCCCCGGGTGCCCCGTGCTGCTCAGCTGTGCACTGCCTTGACCCTTCCCAAGGCATCTTTGAAAAAAGCGATTTCCATCCACTGCTGCATTCACCTCACCTTCTGCAGCCAAGGGTGACCCTGAGGATGCTCAGAGCACGGCAGGTCTGACCCTCGCTGCTCCGGCACTCTGAGATGCTGTTAATGCAGTAAAGCAATTAAATGGTTTCTGCAAAATGAAGCCAGGGACTCAGGTCTGCCTGCTGTGCCTGTGGTGGCAGACGCTGAAAGCAGGTGGCACCTGGGATGCAGGGAGGAGCTGGGGGTGTCAGGAGAGGATGGAGGGAGGAGGTGGGGGTGTCAGGAGAGGATGCAGGGGGAGCTGGGGGTGTCAGGAGAGGATGCAGGAGGAGCTGGGGGGGTCAGGAGAGGATGCAGGGAGGAGCTGGAGGTGTCAGGAGAGGATGCAGGAGGAGCTGGGGGTGTCAGGAGAGGATGCAGGGAGGGCGCCTGTCTGGGAGGTGAGGTGAGGACACAGTCTGTGCAGATGAGGGAGTGTGAAAATCAGCCCTGGAGGCGTCATACCCAAGGTGCTCCCCCCCACCTCCTGCCTCAGCCCAAACGCTGATCCAGGAGGCAGCACCTGGGAGAGGACCATGCTGCTGGGAGGGCGCTGGGAGCCCCGAGGAGCCCCTGCCCATTGGTTTTGCATCAGCTCAAAGCAGCAGCTGTCATTTGGATGGTCCAGTCCCCCGGGCTGGCTTGGGCAAGCTCAGTCCTGTCCCTGCCTCCCAGGGTCCCTGCAGTGCCAGGCCCTGTTTGGACTTTTTGGAGCCATGTGCTGTGGCCCAGGGGGCTACAGGAGGGCACCCAAGGGCCAGCGTGCCCTGCCAGGGCTTCACCGTGCTCACCACCTCCACGTGCATCCCTTTAAAGCACAGCCATGCCCACTCCTTGAAGCACTGTAATCCCTGCGGAAACCCCTCCAGTTTTCCCTGGAAACCCCCTCCCTTCCTTTTTCCTCATAATTTTTCCCCAGGACCGTCTCAGCACTGACCCTATCTCCTTCTCCTGCACATCCCACCCTGAGCCCCTGTCTCCACCACAACCTCTCCCAGCTGCTTCCCGGCACCCTGCCTGTTTTCCCCCAGGAGATTTGAATATGAATAACCCCTCGGCTGAGGAATGCGATCACCACCACCACGCCAGCTCCCACCGCTCATGCCAAGGCACCGCTATTGAGGCCGTGATGAAGCGTGCAGCCCCCCCAGCCCCTGCCCGGGGAAAACTGCCGCCTGCTCGGGGACCCACGAGGTCCCGGAGGTGTTGCAATGCCACCCCTGGCTCACGTGGCCTCAGCGAGGTGAGACCCTCCTCTGACTGCATCCCTGCCTCCTGGAGACCCTTGGGATGCGCTGGCCGGGGAGGGTGTGGGGCTGAAAGGGAAATTTCCCAGGGCTGAACAAGCAGGAGGAAACTCGCTCACACCAGGGAAAGCCAATGTGGAAATGGCAACTCAGCATGCCTTGACATTGCCTCCAGATATTTTCCATCCTCTCATACAAGCTGGAGCTGGCCAGAAAAGAGAGAGACTTTCCGATGATAAATTTTGAGAATTTGGAGAAAAACCACGCACTTCACATTGGGATAAAAACCCAATTAAATTTTATTCTTTTTTTTTTTTTTTTGTGAAACAGCGTTCTGAAAATAAAAGGAAAACAAGTAATTTGGGATCCATCTGGTTTCAATCCCTTTGAAATATACTGTGGCGCTTAAAAATCTCTTTTAGATCTGAAAGACTGTTTTGAAATGAAATAGCGTTTCAGACTGAAAAACAGGAGCACCATCACCAACAGCGAAGGAAAACGGCATTTCGGCCCCGACACGCAGCCTTGGCTCCGCAAGCACGCGGCACGCAGCCTTTTCTGCAGAAATGGCTTTTCCTTAAGGAAAGCTGTGGGAAGGAGCAATTTCCAGCCAGCTCCTCAGTGCTAGGCTGGTGGCTGTCACCTCTGCAGGGACACACCGTGTGAGCTCCCATCCCTCCCTTTCATCCCCGGCCGGTGCGGGATGCACAGCACAGCATCCCTGAAGCGCGGGAAAACCTCCCCAGCGCCCCATGTCTTGGCCTGAGGATGCTCCCCCCGTGAAGGCAGCCTCCAGCATCCCTGGATAGAGCCCTGGAGCAGCAGGATGAGGCCCGGGAGAGCTGTGCTGTCCTCACTGAAGGTATCCACGGCCCCTTATCTGTGACGGGTCCCATGCCCCGAGCCACAGGGAGCAGAGACAGCCCTCCAGCAGTAAACTAAACAGAGAGGTCATCATCCCTGGTTAATATTTGCTGCTTCTGCTGAGGACTGTATACTTTTTCATAGATCATTTACATCCAGCGAGCAGGCTGGTAATTAAATCCTGGTTGTTTGTTTGGAGTTTCTCCCTCTCGGGTCACGATGTCGACGTTTTCACTAGAGAAGATGTGTCCCCGAGGGAAATATCAATTGCTGCAGAGAAACTCCCTATAAAAATACACTGAAAGAATCCTCCTTTGAAAAATAAAATATAGCGACACTCTCGTGCCTTAAATTTACCCTTGCCACTGTCTCCTTGCCACTGTCCCTTTTCTGCTTGCCTCTGCATTCCCTCATTAAGATCTCTGCCCCTCTGGATGGAGGCAGATAGGGGTCCGTCCCCAGCTGTGGCTCTGTCCCCCTGCATTTTGGCTCAGGCTGTGGTTAAGACAAGGGGTGACCCAAGCCATGTGGCCCCCCCTCTGCTCCAGACTGATTTCCCCCTTCAGGGCAGGAGGCAAGAGCTGGGGTGTCCCGGCTGGGCAGCAAAGAAACGCTCCCTCAGGGCACGGGCTGCTGGGGACGCTGGAGCAGCGATGCTCCGGAGATGCCTCCTGCAGCAGGCGGGTTAACAAAATGCCATGAACGTGGAGGGGAATTTGGCCCGGCAGTTCGGTGTCTGCCGCCGGAGAGGAGCAGGCAGCGGCAATACGGAAACGCAGCCGCCACCCCCCGCCCTCCAGCCCGCCAGGAATGCACTAATTGGACTGATGAAGGCCAAACATACTACTTGTAATATATATAAATGGCTCATTAGGCAGAGAAATCACAGCGCTGGGCTGAAGACACTGGGAACATGACATGGGGAGGAGATGCTCGGAGACAGCGAAGGGCATGAAACGGCCCCTGCTGAGCTGCCAGGGTGCACGCAAGAAGACAACACCCAGATGAACGAGGGTTTGCTGCAAAATGACTGATGCTGCTGCCTGTTGGAAATGAAGCAGGGATGGGACAGCCCTAGGAGGAGCCTCCATCTAGGTTTCCTGGAGCTCCTCTCCCCATCATCCACGTGTCCTCTCCCCGATATACATTAAGGATCCTTTTGGGTGCAAACATGCACCTGAATTTCCACGGGAACACACATGGAGCTGCCACGGTGGAAAGCGGAGGATGGCTGGTTCCTGCTGCTGCGGACTCGGCTCCGTGTCTGGAGACCGTCCCTTCCCGTGGGATGCTGCTCCCACAGGCTGCATCTCTGGGCGGCCAGGCCTGGTTGCTGGGGGGGGCTGGGGGTGCAAGGAGAGCCCAGGAGGGATGCTGATGGAGCTGCTGGCTCATCCCCTGCCTGATCCCCTGCACAGGGGGTGACTGTGGTCCCCAGCAGTGCAGGGGGTGGCCGGTGCCACCAGACTCCTTGTGCAGCGCCAATGGGATGCGAAAGGCCAGCATCAAGCCCTGGGCTCTCCCCTCCTCCCAGCTGCCTCCGGGGATTTTGGGTGCTCCTCCTAGGACCCCACACCCCCAGGGCATGGATTTCCTCCTGGCAGAGGCTGGCTGACAGCACCAAAAGAGGATGATGCTGTTCTCCTGACCTCCCAGTTCATGCCAAGCCCTGATTTGTGCTTTTTCCCCCTCTTTTGAGCAGAGGGACGTGTACATGGGTCCCCTGTACCCTTCTTTCAGCCCCGGACTGGGCATGCACCACCCCGAACACAGCACCGAGCTCCTTCCCTGGCCCTGCCCGGCCCCTGCCGGTGCCCCATCGAGCACCGAGGGCGTCCCTGGGGACAGAGCCAGCGAGCGCTGGGCACAGGGCAGCACGCAGCCCTGCCCCACGCGAATCACCCGCGGCAGGGGATGGCACACAGCGAGCCCACATGCAAAGCCCATCTGCTTATGCACCCCAAACACTGTGCCAAACCTCAGGGAGACGGGGCTCTGTCCCATTGCAAATCTTTCACAATTCCCCTCCCTGAGTGCCGCTGCCTGGGGCGGTGGCACTAACTGATGCTCTGCCTGCAGCCCTGCCTCCCCAGCATGGCCCGTAGCCCTATTTTCCCCTTGCCAGCCCCTCACTGGAGCTGGCAAAAGCTGTCTCCTGGCCACCCTCGAGCAAATTTATTTGCAGCCCCTGGTTTTGCCCGAGATGCCTGCCCAGCCCCTGGGCACCCACACATGGGGTTATAGGAGCCCTGCCTGGGTGACCGCCCAGTGGCACAGATCCTCCCTGGGGACATGGGTGTGAATAGCAGCTGCGGAAAAGTGTCCCCAAGAGCCACATGTAGGCAGCAGTCTGAACACAACATGAAGAGGTGCATCCAGGGGAGACTTGGGTTGTGTCAGGGGAGGTGGAACCCACCGACCCAAAAAATGTCACTGTCCTCCTGCCCCTGGGTACAGTCGGAGAGAACCACGACAGGCGGCCCCTGGGCTTGCAGTAATGCCGGGAAAGCCCTGTGGCATGGGCCGAAACCTGCCAGGTCTCGAGCATGTGCCATCCTGAATCAGGGCTCAGTGGTAAGGACTGGGGTGAAGAGATGTAACCCCATGAAGATGGTGAGCCAGCAAGGACTTGCCACGGGCAGACTGCAGAGAAATCCTCTCGCCACGGGCCCCATCTTCACTTCAACCAAGGAGCTGGTCCCAAGCTGGCTGCCAAGCCCCCAGGGGCTGATTTCATTCCAAGGCTTGACCAAGAGATGTGCAAAACCTCCTGGACAGGACCCTAGGCTCAGATCTCCTTAATAAACTCGGGGATTTACTTTGGAAGGCCCTGCAGAAGTCAGAATTTCATCTCCCATTTCTGGTCCTCCACTGGGATTTCATCTCCTGTCTCCCTGCCTCTGACACAGCGCTCCTCGGTAACCCTGGTCACGTCACTTAACCTGATTTCCCAGTCATGACCGTGGCTTTCAGGGTGCCCTGTGCCAGTGCCGGTGATCTGTGTGCAAAAGTGCTCAGTGCTGGGTGGCCCTGGGAAGCAGCTGGGCAAACCGTCGTGAGAACACCCCTGCAAAACCCAAATCAGATCCCTGGGTCCAGCGATGAGCTGGGCAGAGCCCGCCGAGGGGCACGGTGGAAGGCAGGAGCCCAAAGCCCAGTGGCGCCTTCCCGGTTCCACGGTCCTGGCAGGCGGCTGAGGGTGGCCATCCGAAACCTGTCTCCAACATGCTGGGACCCGGAGCTCGATTTTGGTGTTTCCTGCCTGTGTGGGGCTTCTTGGGGAGGGTATTTTGGGGGAGGCTGTTCCTCGTGTTCCTCCCAGATCATTTTCTCACTGAAGTAGCACTTCCCTTCTCTGCCATCCCCATTTGCAAAAACAATCCTCCTGGCCTGGGAGCATTTCTTTTGGAGCCATGTTCTTTTTATATACACACACACACGTATGCATATATATGTCTATATATAAATAAACAGCTATTGTTTTAATTAGCCATTGTTTCAGAGCTCTGGAAACTGTTCCCTTCTCAAGACCACCCCGAAGGCAGAGAACTGCGCGGGTTTACAGCTCGACTCGCCCTGAGATTGCCACTCAAGATGACTTTCTACACTGCTCGGGAGCTTGGGCGCGTGGGCAGCCGAGGAGGTAAGGAAAACAAAGGCCAGGGCGCGGTGGCTTTCTGCCTGTCCTCAACTGGGTCCCCACCTTGCACCCAGGCTGTTCAGCCCCCATGTTTGACCTCCTTCTTGTGACAGTCAAGATGATGAAGACCCTGATGGAGAGCCTGGTCAGACCCACGGTCAGAACAAACAAATGTGTGTATAATCATAGATCTAACCTGTGCAACTCTCTGCTGCAGGATGCTGCAGGGATCAAAGTCGCACATGAGTTCAGAAAGCGATGGTGCAAGCTCGTAGAGGCAGAACCCATCAAGCACCATCAAACACACAGATACCATCGATGGCTTTCTGAGCATCTCCACTGGGACTGGCAGAGCACCTGTGTTGGGTCTATAACTACCTTCTATAGCCATGCACTGTTGGCCTCTGCCAAAAACCCTGTTTTTGTGTCCTAAGCTGATGCAGAGGGAGGCTGGACGCACAGACCCAAGAAGGAAAATGGCCAGGGAGTAATTTTCTGCTCTCCTGAACGTTTTCTAAGCTGGTAGTTTAGCAGCATAAAGACTGCTCCCCTACCCAGTGGGGTAGCGTACGGATTGCCCGTAATCCATCCATTTTTAGCACTTTTCATATGTAATTCCGTGGCGGAAGCTCCGCAAGCTGAGTTACAGCCCCAAGCAAATTTATACAGCTGAGATCTAAATCCCTGTGAAAAATACCGCCTTCTCATGGAAATCCAGCGGCAGGGAGAGCTGTGATGCCAAGTTGGCACCATGGCCAAATAACAGGGAGCCTTATGAAAAAGGAAAAAAAGAGCAGGGGGTGAAGGGTGGGAGGAGGGGTAAAGCTTGGTATGGGGAAAGTTTCCAAGAAATCTGCTCCTTGAGCTTATTGGGTTTTTAAAGCAATATATCTCTATATATGTCCCTGGCCCTTGTGCTTGGAGAAGATCCAGAAGCAGAAAGAACTAATCAAACCTCAATGAGAGCTGTTAGTAGCAGAATGAGTGCCAGCACAAAGGGGAAATTAAAGCAGCCAACAACAGATCCTAGAGGAAAAAAAAAACCACAAATGTTTGCTCTATTTTCTTAGGGCAAGAACAAAATAATAATTTCAATTAGCTGGTAACTTGCAGCAGGGCTGAACTTTGCAGTTCCAGACCTGGGTGCAACCTCCCCTTGCCTCTGTGCAAAGGGGCAGGGTGAGCCCTGTGCCGGATGATGGACTCAGGGATGTTCAGCCCAGCAAACCTAGAAAGCACCTGCTTGCTACTGCTGGGCTGCTAGAAAGCACCAAACCTGACCAAGTTCAGAGATGTGGAGAACTCAGCTTGTCCTGGCTGTGCTGGAGAGCCCTGCTTGGAGAGACCTGTGCTGCAAGGATGGGCGGCTGTGGTACCGCAGCGGGTGGCCCACCCCAGTTTCTGATGGGCTATTGCCCAGCAATGAAGCAGACTGAGATCTTCTGTGGTTTTGGCCGTGACAGCTCCCTGGGAAGATCCATAGGTTGGTTGTGCTGCAGGTATTTGCCAGCAATGGCCCCTAAATGTGTACCTCAGCTGCGAAACGGGTTTGCACGGAACCCCAGGGAGCCTTTGGGTCTGTGCCCTGCAGCTCGTGGGAGGCTCTGCTTGCAGACTCCAACTTGCAGGCTCAAGCTCAGGTCTCACCTTTTCCTTTTGCATCCCTGGGGGCTGGACAGGGTGTCCCAAGAGCCAGCAAGCAGCAGCCAGGCATCCAGGCTGGCTGCAAAGGGTGCTCAGCTCAGGGGTCCTGCTTGCACGTGGCTGGCACGAGAGTGGCACAGGCGGGGGATTTAGCCACAGGCATTTCACCAGCCTGTGGGTGTGTAAATCCCATTGGGTTCAGTGAGAATTAGGTGCCCAAATACCTCCAGAAATCTGGTCCTCTGTGGCTAAGCTCCGAATCTGGTGTCCCACTCACTGATGAGTCCAATGGATGCTGTCAGCTTACCTGTGCTCTCTCCGTTGTCCACTGGTCTGACAACTCCTGCACCCAATAAATGGCAAAAACCAGCTTGTTCCCAGCTTTTCCAACACCACCCTCTCTCAGCTGGCCAAACAGGTCTGCCGTCTGCCCCGTGACATCCCAGCTCACCTTTACATAGTCGTATTCACAGAGATAGGATGACTCCAAGTCAAAATGCATGAAGTACAGCTTGATTTTAAATCCCTCAGGCACAGAAATGTTCCAGGTCACTTCTGAGTCGCTGGGATAGGAATCGGGGAAGTTGGGAGACTGGATCTCCCCAAACATATCTGTCAGCTCGATGGCATCCACCCCACAGAGCAGCAAGGCACAAAAGGACCAGGTCAGGGAGCACCTGGAAAACACGCACGGAGAGGTGAAATGAAACTCTGGCAACACCAAGATCTGTCAGGGGCTCAGTCTGTTTTCCCAAGCGGGTCGTATGAGGTCACACACTCAAATCAGCTGGGAGAGGAGGTGCAGCACCATGGCACACCACAAGCAAACCCCCTGCCGAGCCATGGGGGAGGCGGAGGTGAGGCTGGGAGCTGCACCTGACTCCCAGGAGGGGACAGCCCCTTGGAAAGGTGGGTGACGCGAGTGCCACACAGGATGCAAAGGCACCTCCAAGATCCCAGCCAGCTCCAGGCACCGGCAGGAGCTCGGTGTTTCTCATGCTTCTGGGAGCAGCCAGGGCTGGCAACACATCCTTTAACTAATGGAGCTCTGATGGGCAAATCTTCATTTAATGAAAGAATAACCATAAGGATGCTTAATAAAATAATGACGCTTTCAAAACTGGTTTAATGAAACCATCATGGCAATAACTGTTAAGTATCATTATTATCATTACTGCTTAGCCTCATCCTGCCAAATTGGGATCATTGACTCTCAATAAGCAGCACACATCTTTGCAGCTGGGCAAGGATATGTAACCCAATGTAACTCAGCGTGCTAGTCTCCACTATTTTTTGTTTTCTCCATTTCTCTTTTCCATTATTTTCCTCTTCTTTTTTCTTCTTCTCTCTTCTTTCTTATTTTCTTTTTTCTTTTCTCTTTTCTTCTCTTTTCTTTTTTTTCTTTTCTTTATTTTCTTCCTCTTCCTCTTCCTCTTCCTTTTCCTTTTCCTTTCTTCTTTTTCTCTTCGATTCTTAGGGTACTGCTCACCCCAGGAGAAGCCCACAGAGGCCAGAGGCTGAGATCATTAGACCCCTTTCGTCATCAAACTCAGCTTTTAAAAACATCTCAGCCTAAATTAGAGTTTCTCCCAGTTACCAACTTGTCTGTCCCAGAGGAGGGCAGAGAGAGGACAGGTAGACCAGCAGCAGTCCAGCTGACCTCGCACGGGCCTTCAGCTCCATTCCAGCACGAAAGTGAGCATCAACCGACTATTTCTCTGTGCAAGGGGAGAACACTGCGCGCCCTGGAGGTGCAAACAGGAGCCTGTGCCACTGCATGGGACCCAGAGCGAGGAGCAGACCTCAGGTTCTTTACACCCAGTGGAGCACACAGAGGACAAGAAACGCGCAGGAAATTAGAGCCATTACAGATGAAAATTTCCACTTTCTAAAATAGGTACTAAGGCCTGGCAAGGGCTTGTAGGTGTGTATTACAGGCGCTGGAACTACTCACACGTACACGTACACCCGGTTTCAAAATCAGGGCTCGATTTAGGTATGCGAGCGAGGAAATTGAAGCTATATAAGCGGATTATTTTTAACCTGTCTGTGTTCTTGCAAAACCAGTAGATTTCTGGGGCTCATTTGTGTAGTGCCATCACTTTTCCCAGCTCTTGGTTACAAAGCAAAGTTAATGGGAGCTGAGAAATTTGGATCGATTTTTCTTTCAAGCAGAGTAAGGTTGAATATGTCTTTTTTTCTGACAGCTTGTCTGAAACCACAAAAATGTGTGAAGGGAAAATCTGTTTCTCCTCTGGTCAGAGTACATGCACGGGGGGGCTGGATGCTCAGCTGGTGTAAAGGGGCATCCCCTCCGCCACTCGAACGGGCCATTTGCTGGCGCAACTCTCCGCTTTCCCTTTAAACGGGGAAGGCAAAACAACATCAAAACTTAATTCCCATGCCAGGAAAGTCTTAACCTCACGTAAAAGTGATAAATGGCCGCGGCGTGCACAGAAACCTGCAGCCATGTGTGTCACATCCAGCCTCGCTCACACCTTTGGCCCACGGGCCAGGGCACAGCGCCTCGCGTGGGCTGCACACCCATCACCCGAGGCTCCCGTGGGCTCTGCCGGGATGCCGACACGCCAACTGGGCTGCAGCACGAAGCTGAGGCATGAGCAATGCCTCCTTCGCTGGCGGGTGGGGAAAGCAAAGCCACGGTCACCCGAGGGACCCCTTCCCCGGCGGGGTGGCCCCCTGCCCGGCCGTGCTGCGGGACCGTCGCGGAGGTACTCACCTCATTTTGCTGCCGGGAGGTTTCGCCGGTGGGTTTGGGGTGGAGGATTGCTGGGTTGGCTTGCAGGGGGAAAGG